TAGAATTTTACTTATCACAGGTAACAATGAAATGGGTCTGTAGTTATTAATAACAGATTTTTGCCCAGATTTGTGTATCGGGATAACCTTAGCTAATTTTAAAATATCAGGAAAGTTCCCCGTGCGTATACTTGTGTTTATTAAGTGCCGAATTGGAATATGAAGGCTTGCATTTTCTTTAATAATTCTGACTGGAATGTCGTCCCAGCCTGGAGCTGAACCTCCCTTGATACTATTTATTAAATTGGAAAGCTGGGGCTCATTGACAGGCACCATCTCAAACACAGAATCAACCGCGTGGTCGGCGTCATCTACCTCCGGTCGTCCCGAAGCCGTGATACCCATTGCCAACTCAGATCCCACAGAAGAGAAAAAATTATTAAATGTGTTACAAATGTGTTTTGTTTCTGGGGGGGTGGCAGTGTCAGAGTTAACAACGCCTCAACCGGAAACGGCGCTTTGGCACTTGGTCGGCCAGCCACCTCGTTTACAACTGACCAAAATTTACGAGCGTCACCCGAGGATTCGTCAATTTTGGTTTTGTAATAATTAAACTTTATATGCTTGATTAGGGAATGTAATCTATTGCGATACTGGGTGAATTTATTTCGAAGATACAGGTTGAATGGTTCTTTTTTTAATTGTTTAAAAAGGAGATCCCGCTTTCTTATTGAAGTAATAAGACCACTAGTTATCCAAGGTTTGATTTTTGTATTTTTAGCGTTAATCTTAATATTTGATGATGCGTTTTCAATCACCCTGCCAATTTTTGTTGTAATTCGCTCGGCACAAAAATTCACGTCTTCACTTGCTAGTACTTCTTGCCAGTTTTCAGTTGTTAAAAGGTTATTGACAATTTTCCAGTCGGTCTTTTTGTAAAAAGAAGCTTCCATTTTATCATTATTGTAGTGTCGCTGCTTAAATATTTGTAGTGCTATGGGGTAATGATCAGTTAAACTTGACTGAGGATTGCTGATTTAGTAAGGATTTGATTAGCAATTTTGACGAAAAAATGGTCAATGCAGGTATTACTAGCAGGTCGTGTTATTGAGTTGATGCACGGTATAAATCCATATCCATACATTTCGTCTAAGAAGCGCTCTTCTAGACTATTTTGCCCAGGTGCCAAAATGTTGCAATTTGTATCACCAACTAAAACACGAATGCCTCGGAAATCTCGGCTTAAGTAATAATGCTCAGAAACGCCATTGATGAAGTGCTCAAGACTAGAGCTCGGACTCCGATATACGGCTAATATGTCACATGGATTGCCGGCCCAGTCGAAGGTCACTGATAAGGCGGTGGCGACTCCTCCGAGCGACAACTGACTACAGGATGCTGTAATATTACTATCTAAGTAAATAACAATTCCGTCATTTTGGTTTATACTATTGTACGATCGATAACAATTGTATCCATCAACGCTACAAAGATCACTATCATCACCTAGCCATGCTTCAGATAGAACAAGACAATTAAATTTGATATCTAACCCTTGGACGAATACTAAGAACTCATCAAAGTTTTTACGATAGCTGCGGATGTTAATGTGAATGATTTTGAATTTAGAATGTCCCACTTCAGTACTGAAGTACCCTCTCACATCTTTCAAGTCTTCAATTACCTTAAAGTTATTATTAATTGAGGCTTCATCAAATAAATCTTTGTTGAGGTTTACCATTTCCTCAAAATAAAAATAAAAAATATAATGTAATAATGAATTAAGGAGCAAGTACTTTAAAACAATAAAGAGAAAAAAAAATATATATATAATCAGGTGGTAGGCAACAGCCAGTGCTAGTCTGCCATCTAGCTAGGCATAAAAAATATGGATTTAAGTATTAATAAACAGACAAGTTGCATATATTATTGTATCAGAGTAAACCTAAAAAATATTTTTTGGAAGTAGTATAAATGAATTTAATTAATTAACTATAATTTTGATTGTAAATAATATATGAATAAATTCGGTTGGCAAGATTAAAAATTGCAGGTGTGGAGTAAGACACCATTCTAATAATATCATAACAAAAGGCATTAACATGAGTGTAAGGTAATTAAGAACATAAAATAACACTTTTTGAAGTTAAAGAAAATCACTGATCACGATAATGATGCGTAGATTACACACTCTTGTCTCTTAAATAAAATTCACATATTCAGTCACATATACTAATTAAATTAAATGCTTCACAAACTAACTTTACTGGGAAACTATGTAAATAAAAATGTATGTTAGTTTAAAGACAGAATAATTTATCCAGTATTAATGTACAAAAATACAAACGTCACTGTGAAATGACGTGTAGTGATTATTTATTTAGAATAGTCTACAAATACAAACAAAAAAACTGAATTTAGTGACCATTCACAATTTGTGTATGGTTATCATTACAAAGATAATGCACTCGCAATCATCAGATAAGAAAAGCAGAGATGGGGCTTACCATCAATGCAAATATTGATAATGAGCAATGTTGGTTAACACGTATTATTTATATTGTTATTTTTTAGGATTATTATTATATTTTATTTGAATTATTTAGTTTATTGACAATTGAGATGGATAGTGCTTTAGTGTTACGATTAGTTATTTTTGATTAAGGATTATTAGGTTTTAGAGTAAAGTTATAAACAATAGCTTGAGTTTAACTGACATATTGTGGTAAAAGTATTAATATTTACATTGAGATCTCAAAATGGATCTGGAATGTTATGATTGTATAGAAAAAATATTGATTTTAAGTTAAACTATATTACCGTATGAAGAATAATTTTGGTTATTTACTGCATTTCATTGTCTTGTTTGGCTGGCTACTCAGTTGGCTGCGGGGGTGGGAGTGGAGGCTGTGGAGTCACATCAGGAGAGGTACTGGCAGCGGCGGGGGCGGAGTCCATGTTGTCACCTGTTGAGGAGGCTGGGGAGCGATATGGTCCACAGATTCTGTTCAGATCGCCTAATTCACGCACTCTAGAAATCCTTCCGTTGGGTGTTTTCCTCACTAGAACACGTCCATCCGCTACCCAGACCGATGCGAGTCTTTGATCCTTCACGAGGTCCCTACCTTTGTTGAACACTTCCCTCGTATGTACAGTTAAGTGTTCATTGAAGTAAATCGGAGTATTTGGGAACCTATCGTTGAGCTCGTTTGCATGTAACACCCGTTTAGATTTCCTTGCAATCATCCAGTCGTTCTTGTAGACTCGGGAAACAAATTTTACCACGATAGGGGGATGACGTTGACCTTCTCCTGCAGGGAGGCGATGGGCTGCTGAAATTTGATATGGATAGTAAGACATGCGCAGAAGGTGAGAAAGTCTCGCGAGTACCGCGTTAATGTCCTCTCCTTTAGTAACAGGTACACCGGTGATGATGATGTTGTCTACACGTGAGTGCTGCTGGATGTCATTCATTTCTCTACGTAGAAGTTTCACTTCTCTTAGTAAATCGATATATGATTCTTCAAAAATTGCTATCCTACCTTTCATTTCTTCGTTTTCGCTTTTAATATTACTGACCTGAGTTTTTGCCTCGTCAACATCTTGGACAATATTTGCAATATTATTTTTAACTTCATCGATTTTAAAGTTAGTTTGTTCCCACTTACTGTTTATCTCACTTCGCAAGGCGGCAAAAGTTTCACAGTTTTCTTTCCTAAATGCTGCAATGGCTTCCAAAACGGTGGCTTGTCCAACATCTCTATCCTGTCCCACATTTCTGCAGTTGGGCGAATTATCGGGAGCACAACTCTCACACTTCCACGGCGTGGATCTTGTGAATTTCTTCAATCCGTCGGAGGCATTCCTTGTAGCACATTTAGAGTGATAACTAGACACACAGTCCACGCACTTAACACTATCTCTGACGTTAATAACGTCTTGATGGCACTTACCGCACTTATCTGCCATACCTTAAAATATAAGGACGATTAATAAAACGAAGTTTAACGATTCAATAGTTATAAATAACGGTTTAACAGAATAATTGCTTAAAACGACCAAAAAAGGCAACTTTAAACAGGATTTATCCACTAGAGGCAGACCCGCACGACGCTACTGACCTATGTACTAAGCACTGAAAATGATGCTATTGTAGAAGGGAACATCTTACAAGGAGCAGGACCAAGCAGAACATTCCTCAACAGTGATTAACTGTCATGTCACAGCAATAATCTACACATTAGGTACACAACCACAGCCTACAATGATGCTATTGTTGAAGGGAACATCTTACAAGGAGCAGGACAAGCAGAACATTCCTAAACAGTGATTAACTGTCATAGCAATAATCTAAACATTACATACACAACCACAGACTACAATGATGCTATTGTTGAAGGGAACATCTTGCAAGGAGAAGGACCAAGCAGAACATTCCTCAACAGTGATTAACTCGCTAAGACACAATCCCGTTATTAATCGTCGTCTGTGAATTATGCACTAATTACGGAATACGCTCAGGGAGGCTTGTAGAGGAGAGTTAGAGGTGTTCAGCACATTATCACCCCACGGTCAGCTCATCGTCTTACCCTGGAGGGGGTTTGTAGGAGGGGGAATGATAAGTGAACTGTCTTGAGAAGAAGGGATTGTAACGATAAATTCGCATAAGTGCGGGGATTGTAGGATAAATGTAGAGTAATTAGATAATTACGAGTGAAGTGATGAAAAATGAAGCAGTTGAAGGTGGTAAATTGTTCTGCAGAGATAATTTTTAATTTGTGTCTAAGCTCGTTTCGTTGTGAAATCTGTTTAGAGGATTTTCAATTCAATTATTGTAAAACCACATTACCAAACAAATACAGCTAGGATCTCGTGAGATCCTTTTGCGATTGTTTTATCTTCAAACTTTAATAACAATTAATATGATCCGACTGAGTGGTGCAATCTTTAAAAGCTGAGCTGAGATAAAAGCTGATGTTAATGTATCTGCATTCTGGTGCATCAAAATATATTTACATATCTATGAATAGCTGTCGTATACAACATGATACAAGACTAACCTGTGTGTATGTAGGTGTGTTTCTTCATGTCGGACTTCTGGTGGAACCTCTTCCCGCAGAACTGACAAGGGTAGGGCCGCGTATCCGAGTGTATCAGCAGATGTGTAGACAATGTAGACGACCTCTTGAATGTCTTGCCACATTGTTTGCACTCAAACACCTTCTCCACACTGTGTACCGATCTCCGGCAGCATAACCACCTACGAAGAAGATACATTTGTTTTGGTAAGAGAAAATCATATTTCAAAATTATGTACACATTGATTACACGTCATGCAATATATTCTCGATTTCAATTTAGTCATACCAATGTGTCAGCAACTGATACTAAACGCTCATCAATCCGAACCCCTTAAGCCTTGTGAGTAATCAGTTTAAGTGTATGTACATATTAAAAGTGTTATTTTACGAATTTTTGTAGTTTCCGGTGTTTTAATAACACTCACGATGCTGATTAAGAATTTATTTAATTAAAAGTTCTGCACATAGCCAATACTATCAATTAACATTTTCTCCTGGATTCTAACACACCTAGTACAATATAACATTTAATGTTCGCATCTATTACCCCTTCTCAAACACCTTTGACTCTACTGTCCGATTTCTTTATTATTCATAGTCTTGTCTTCCCTTACCTGTGCTGACTCAGTGACACCTCGGCCCCAAATGTCTTGTTGCACAGTTCACAAGCGAATGGACGTTTCCCGTTGTGAGATCTCCGCGAGTGAACCTCCAGTCCGTGAGGTGTGGGGAACATCTTGTCACACTTGACACAGCTGTAGACGTCTCCTCCTCGCAAAAGGAGGTGGTGATGATGAGGGTCATTGCCTCCAGACGTCAACAACTGATGGCGCAGCCGGAACAGGTCTTCGGGAGTCGGTGGCTGAGGAGGCATTCCGGGGAACAAACCTCCGGGGTTGGGGGCTCCTGGAAAAGTAGAATAGTGTTTAGCGACGGAATAACTCATTCAGTGATAGGTGAACCACTCTTAGCAACTGTTGACGAATCACAGCCATCACTCGTGATGTAAAATGACTTGATACAAAGGCCATATTCTTAAAGAGATCACTTGATGTATGCAATTTTGTTAGAGTACTCTTCTGAAAGTGCCGAATATTTGCAGTTTGTAAAATATTTGTTTTTTTGAATCAGCACACTTTAAATTTGTGCAGGCTATGGTAAATGATCTTTGATAGAAACCAACTGATTGGCTTCGTTAGAAACAAAGAAATCTCACTCTACCCCCGCCAATCTACCATTCAATGCTTGGAATGCACGAAGCTGAGTCAATATTTCAACATAATGTCATATTTAATCACTTATACACTCCTATTCTGTTATTCTTGAGTTCTCCTATATTTTTAATTACCTTGAGGAGCAGAAGAGTTAGCCATTGCTGCAGCAGCCGCCGCATGGACCGCGCCGAGGCTCAGGTAAAGCGACCCCGTCAGGAGATTCTTGTTGGTATCTACTTCACCATCCTTCGGAGCTGGGTACATCGAGGAACCCAACGGGAACCCAGGGGGTGATAGAAAATGACGCGGCAGAAACGCAGAATTCCCCGTATCCTTCCCGTCCCTTAGCAACAAGTCGGAAAACGGAAGTCCAGGATAGAAGAAAGAACGCGTCACAGAGATTGTTTCAGAAAACGGTTGAAAATTCGGGTCTTTCCTTATTCGAGGGTAGTCAGGCCTCAGGAGAGCGTTGACACTAAATGCTTCTGCCTTTTTCGACTTGGAGCTCGGCGAAGCTGTCCGCATCGTCATTTCTAGGGGCGGAGTTCTCGGCGGACTGTCGACTTCCAACTCTGGTGAGGTCGATCTAGTTCTTGATCTTGACCTCGACCTTGACCTCGATCGTGACCTTGATGACCTCCAAGGGTCAGCTCTCCGCGTTGATTCGTCAGTCATCGTAGTGACGTCAGTTCGCACCCTGTTGATGTTTTTCACTTGGTCGTTGTTATTGTTGTTGGAGACGTCTTCGTCTTCTTCCTCGTCGTCTGACTTCTCCATCAGTCTGTTGACTCCGAACTTGATGGCGTCTGGAAATAAATAAAACTTTTAGTCTGCTGATTGGTATACATTCGTTTACTTGGGTATGTTTACATTGTTCTACAAATTAAAATCACCCTACAGTGCTGCTTACTTACTAAACTTGTAAATCATCCACCCAAAACAGCCAAATAAACATTTTACCAGACACACTCGACCAAAAGCAATTATCCACGGATTTGGCGTACGGCGAACGATTACAACAAAACTGCAGCGACGGTTGTGATGAATTTCGCAAATTTTCGCGGCACGGCTTAGTGGGGATTGCAAATGTCCAATCGTCGGGGATGAAAAATTGAATTTCAAAAACACTACGCTCTGACACGGAGTAATCAAAGCGTCAAATAAAATCCACTAAATGTTTTGACCACATTGTTTATTCGGGCAGTGGTTTTTGTCGGGGGAGTGGTAATGGCGGGAAACGAATCACACGATGGATAAACCGGCGCGAAAATATCGGCATGTCGATTCTGTGAATAATGAGACTCGAATACGCGACTCGTGAATAATGGAAAAACCAATCACGCTCGTAACACATAATATCGGCCTGATGAGTTCTTTGAGGTTCAAACTCATCGGCGAGTTCGTTCGCAGTTTTAATGGACTTTTGATCCCGGGATTAGTCCATTACTGGCACAACAAATAGAAAATTAGCGGATTACTAGACGCGTGTGTCGGAGGGGGAGTTTGTCATAGTCACGGTGTTATAATAATGGGTTAGAGTTAGACTCCAATAGAATCAATGAGCGATTTGTAAATTCAATGAGGCGCAGTAATCGTTACCGTAAATAAAGTTAAGCCTTGTAATTTATTATGACTCAAAAGATAAGGCTGAGATTATATCTTTTGAATTTATAAACTTCTTTGATAGCTAAAAATATTTGTTATTATTAATTGTCTTGAAATTGTTTTACTGTTATAAACTTTAACAATATAGTTTTCACATTGCTTTAGTTACTCAGAAACATATTTTCTTTGTTGTAAAATCTTTTTGTAAAGATAAACAGACAGTAAGAGATGACAGTAAGAAATTTACAATGCATTTTGATTTTTAAAATATTGGTTTCTTCAAATTTGAGTAAGATTGTTTGTTAATTCCCCGTAATACCTATATTTCTATGCACATAGAATTTGTGATCTATCCATAGCTCTCTATTGATACTTCATATTTCAATATATGTTTTTAGTTATTGGATGGAAAATGTAGTATGATATTTATACATTTTTTGAGATTTTTGGATAAAAGAGAGTGAAATAATTTCCCTACGTTTCTTTGAAGTGCGTTACTCACTTTTGCGTTACCACCTAGGATACAAAACATTCATACACAAAAGCATGCTTCATAGCTTGCAATAGAGTTGGTCTACTTGTATTTTACAGTCAGTATTATAACCTACACTAGTCAAATCACCGACCGTTTAGTGTTTAGACATCAGACCCAATGGTCGCCGATCGCCGATCTGTCCATGTCGCAATCTGTTTCAATCTGTGGACGGCTCTCGATAAATCCCGTGTCACTTCACATAAACAAGCTCGCCCATAAACATTTCAATTTGAATCAATACAAGATTTCATTGGCTTGCCAGGCACGTCTCTCCCACCAACGCGCGACTAATCCCAGCTAAGATTTCTCCGTTTAATTAAAAAGAAGTGTTAATGAAAACTGCCAGATCGCCTTGTGATCGTTTTAATCTAAGTGTACTTCCTACAGAGTGTTCGTTGTTAGATTAAACATACTCAGTGAATCGTCTTGGTTAGTTTTATAGCATGTTTATGTGCGGCATGTGTTTGTTGTTTAATTTTGGTGTTTTCCCAACTATTACAACCAACAATACAGTACAACGATAAACTATTACAATAAAATACTATTACAATGTTGTAATACAATGGCTATTGGGGTGACACAGTCATTGAAAACTTTTACTTTGATATTGTTGTTGAGGGGCAGAGCGCACTCAAAAATCTACATTAAGCTGGGTTTTCCTAGGCGCGGAAGCGGAGAGCGGAGAGAGGAACGCGGAGAGCAGAGAGAGGAACGCGGAGAGCGGAAAAGATATTAACATAGTATTCCACTCCGCTTCCAGGAAAACAGTAACGCTTTTCCGGACGCCAGTGTGAAACCGTCTATGAACTGTGCACTTAAGAGGCGGTTCATGAGCTCGGGTTTATCGTAGTCCGAGCCCAAAATCCGGAAATAACCAGTATTTGCACTGCGACTTAAAAAGTCGTGTTCACAAGCTCGAGACTTTATAAGCCGCGGACCAAACTGATAAGTGTACTCGGACCCAACCCGTGTAGCAAGATTTTATGAATTGAATTGATGTCAACGCGGTAACTTAAAGTTAACTGTGCTATTGGTGACTTATTAATTTGGAAAGACTAATGGATGGAGCTCAACTTATTTCAAACTAGTAACCTACTATAGTAAAAATTAATTTATGCTTCGCTAAAATTTGAAATATATATCCAGTTAAATTTTATATCATTGTTTGCCTGCGACTTCTAAATTACAAACGTCACTTTGCAACGAATGAATGTTCACTTTCTGATTGTTTTAAAATACCCTTGTATCAGTAATGTGTCATAGTAGCAATGTGTCTAGTGAACAATCCGTAGTCTAACTGACACGTTAGTAAAGCCACTCATTTAAAACAACAGCGAAAATCTCCCACCAACATTCGCCAATTCGAAAGACATTTTAAGTATGTTCAGGAATATTTTAGGAAAATAAGCGATCACACCCCTTTCCGATTTTCCGTGGGAACCGGCTGATGTTGACGAGATCGACAAATCGTGAGGTCATCTATCAAGGAGGCAGCAGTCATTACACCCCCTCATACTCTCTCCCTCTCTCTCTTTCTCTCACTCACACACACTTGCATTATTCACCGCCCTTATTGGTGCATGCCTCTCCTTATTGATAACTATTAGGTTATAACCACCCTGCACCCTCCACGGTGATTATGGCAATGATATTGCTGGGATAGACGGTTGACGAAGGGATTGACCGGCGACTATTAGGGGCGATGAAGACAACAATTGAGCTGGGCTTTTTAAGAGATCGCGGGAAAATGTTTGATTTACCTCGAGAAGGGTCGTAAACTATTTCAGTATCCTGAAAAATAGTTTGAAATTATGTGAATTTTATATACAATTTTGTGTGTACTTTAGGTATCTAAACCCCTAAAAATTTTGTGTTTAGTTTTGATTGGTTTGATTACAAATTCTCTTGCGTTTTGGAGTTAAAATAAATGAATTTGAATTTTACGATTGAGTCGTAAAGCTGCGTACAAAACATATTTGAGATATTTTTTAACACTGTCTTTGGAAAATAAAAGCATTTTCTTAAGCATTTGGTTGGGCTTTGTCCCAGTGGCTTTTTTGTCAGTTGTTGTTCATTCTACACAGTGAAAAGGTTGATCGATGAATCAAAATCTTTCCTGGTCTTTTAAACAATATATCAACTGTTATCGGAAGAGTATTAAGTTTAACAACTGTTAAAAAATTGATGGATATTTCCCTTTCTAAATCCTGCCAATGGTAGTTATGATGACACGATTTCATTGCAGTGCGAACTAAATACAAACAATACGTTGTTAGCATACATATACCTTACAAATGGTCAAAATATAATCACAATCACATTATAAGAAATACATTATAACTGGGATTAAAATAGTTCACAATGTTAGTGACTGCAATCGTGAAAAAGACGTGTTTTGAATAACTTGTTTCACATTGAATTTTCACCCATGTTAATGCCAATGTCCATTACTACGAATGGCAATCGTTCAGACAAACACACAAATTCTTAACTCAACTAATTTTTTCCCACAAAAGCAGTAAATCGAACCGAACGAACACGAACCCAAACACGGGTGATATTTTGACAAGCAGTACAAACTCTACCTCGAGATTTGCGCCCCTTGAGTCAACAGAGCGACGTTTTTATCGCGGACGACACACAACGTCGATTTTGTCAACAGACTTTCGTGACCGTAAATTGTCCGTGTGTTGACTCTGCGCGCGCGCCGCACATCAAAAATAGATTTATCGCGGCCCCAATAAACAAGGGGAGACAAATACAGGGGGGTCGATAGCGTCCCCCACAGGTATACCTGCGTTTGTGCTGTTTGCAAACTCAACTACTTAATTGTTTTGTTTTGAAATGAGTAATTTTACTCGTGGTTCAAATCGTCTATGACGTAAAAGAGGAGAGTATAGCTTTTGTTGTTTTTGTATGACCACTTAACAGACAATTGATTATTCTCATAACTTGATTTTGATCAGCAGTTTATGTACTGTTTGTCATAACTAAAGCAAGTAGAGACGACTATTTTATCTTTTGGTTGGTCATATTTTGATAGTTTTTAAGTTGATTAGCGAGTATTTTCGTTTTTCTCATACTGAAATTAAATAGTTAATGGGTACATAAAATATTCCGAAATTCTTACAAAGTCTTGTATAGACTAAACAGCTTGGCATATCTACGGTACGACATGGTTGTGTATAAATGGCTAAGATAGTTGGTTTCTTCTCGTAGTTTTCCGTAAGCATAAGAGCGTCTGACAGTTCCTATCTTCAACACAGCTGAGGAAGAACTTGGCTAACCTCCCTAGTATTAAGGGATGATCAGAAAAGTGTCGAATAATTACCGACAGCCTATATAGCCAGGTTATATTTCTATATATATTTAACAGATTTCGGGTGGTGGCATACAGAGACCACTCGGGCGACCAAATAAACCATTAGCATTGCCATAAATAGAATAAATATTGGCTAGAAAAAGAAGGTTCAGCGACGTGCCGCTAGAGCGTGCTCGCTGTTCGATTTGCTGCCGTCGTCGGCTCCTCGCTACCAGCAGACGCTACAGCGGTGTGCGCCGTAAATACGCGGCACTCCTAGCGGTGGACGTCAGAACATATGCTAAACGCAGAACTGCTGTTGGTCTATATTTAATTCTATTTGTTTATGCTATTACTAACCTAAC